CGTACCAACGTGTAATTAACATCCAAATTGAAAATGAAAATGAAAATGAAAATGAAATAAAATATTATATATAATTAATGATATTCTATCATAATCCAGAAAGCAAAGAATTGAAATTCAAAGGGAAGGACAAGGCAGCAATCATAGTCTTGTCAATATGATCTATTTTGATGGACAAAATTTCGAAAATCATATGCTGTTATTACCGTATTACTTGGAAATTATGTTAAAAAATGCGTTTTTATCCAGAAAAAATCTAAATAATTAATAATTACATGTCAGATATTTTTTCAGCAAATATTATCGATTTAACACACATTCTGAGTGATAATAAAGTACATTTCAGGATATACGCCTTGCAGATGTAGACGGAAGACACGAATTGTGAAACACGTCTTCCTAGGGTTATGTTCGAGTTGGTGCCAAGATGGAAAAGCATGGATTAGCGGGGGACGTTAGTGAGGCGTGGATCATGAAGCTCGCCTTTGATTCTTCCCCTCAATTGTTCGTTCTATTATTACCACAACTACCTTAAATCTCGGATGACCCATCCCCCTCCCTTATAAATATCCCAAATCCAAATATCAAACCATATCAAAATTATATTCACATTCTTCATTTTATAAATTCCTTCAATCAAATAGATTTTGTTACAGTTTTTAAAAGGTAAAATTATTTTTTATTATATTATATTTATTTCATATTTAATTTATTTTCCAAATTTTATTGTACTAATGATTTTTTATTACTTTTTGTGATTGTAAAATAGAAGACGAGATCATATCTCGAGACATTTTTCGATACGATAACAATATTAAATTAGGTTATTTAAATTATTGTTAATATTTTTAAACTTTTTTAGTATTAGTTTATATTTTAATTCGCATACTATTTATTTAATTAAGAGAATGATCGTATATTAGAAACAATCATTCGTTTTTGCATATATAAGACTTTCAATTATTCAAACTCTCAAAATGAGGCGTATTTAAGATATTGTTTACTATGATGGAGAATTCGGGAAGATGAAACCGGTGTTATCTTCCCATCAAATTATTATGTCACCTTATCCTTCAAGAGAACACCACTCTTGAGGAGCTGATCATTAAACTTTCAAGGAAAGTTCATGTTAGAAGAACTAAAAGACTATCATTACTTTAGTACAGATTCCCAACTGCACTATTTTCGTTAACTTGTACAACGTTCGAACTCTCCAACGATGATAATGTTGTTATGATGGTTGATACTCAGAATCAAAATTCAGATACTGTTACACAAATGTATGCCATATTTGTTGATGTATATGCGATTCGTGGTATGTCATTATGCTCCCGCTATCGGATGACTCAACAAGCTGATCAAGTTGACATCCCAACTCAAGTAATGTGTAATGATTTTAACTCGTTAATGGGAAATCCACATCTTGGTATCATCCCATCAAGTTCAATAGGGAGACATTCATCAGCAACTTGTTACGATCTCTACCGAGGTGGCTCCACGAACAATTCGTATGACAACATCGCTTCCAGTTCAAGGGGAAGACATTCATCTACCAACTTCTTTGACCTTAATATGGAGATGCCCTTTGACAAAGCAATCTGTTAAGTACCCATTTGACATGATACCTTCAAGTTCCAAGGGAGGCATTCAACTACGAGTTGTTTCGACCTCAATGTGGAGATGCCTACGATACACTACTCAGTTCAAAACCCTTATGACACGATGCCTTCAAGTTCAAGGGGAACATATTCAAATACCATCTTGTTTGACCTAAATATCAGCGTCACAGAGGAACTCTCATCTCCACCAGAAGAACCTCTTCGCGAGCCAGATGCAGATGGTGCTGAGACTAGACTATTCGTTGAGCTAGAATCACCGCAGTTCAACATAGACTCCGATGATGATGATGTAGATGAAGTTCCCATGAATACGGTACACACTGAATCTCCGGTACACATGTATGAAGCTGACTATGATGCAATATACGGGCTAGAATTTACGGACATGCCTAATGTTGGTGACTACAGATTTAATTCATCAGTCAATGATAATGAGTTATATATCAAAATAGAGTTTTCATCTAAAGAAGAAGCGAATATTGCAATTAAGAATTACAACATTCGTAATTTTGTTCACTCCAGAGTCGACCGATCCACCACCGAAAAGTATGTCTGCCACTGTGTCCAATGTGATAACAAATGCAACTGGATGGTTCATGCATCGAAGAAGAAGAAGAAAAATAACATACGAGAACTAACAATATATAACGGTCCTCATACATGTTGTGCTAGAGGGATAAACCAAGACTATCCCAACTTGGACTCTGACATTATCTGCCAAGCCATCATGCCCATGGTCAAAGCAAGCTCCCATATAGCTATTGCGGTGCTGATTTTAGCTATACAATCTCAATATTGATACACCGTCTCCTAGAGGAAAGCATGGAAGGTAAACCAAGTGCCATTAAAAACTTCACGGCGAGTGAGATTTATCTTATAATGAACTACCAAGTTGGTTTAGGGTAGTACCTAGACTGAATCCTGGGACAATAGTCAACTTTGAAACTTACCATGCATACCACAATGATTGAGTTCTTCACAATCGATACCAATTCTATCGGCTTTTTTAGACTTACTCATAGTACATTAATGTTGTGAAATACTGTAAGCTCATGATTCATAACATCCCCATCTATCGAAAGCCCCAAATGTATGGAAACATCCTCCAGCGTAATATTACACTTCCCACACGGAAGATGGAATGTGTGTTTCCATGGTCTCCACCTCTCAATCAGTGCGAAAATAAGATTGGATTCAAGGTTACAGTGCCCTTCATATTTCGCCATGTAACCGAATCCAACCTCATCTAAATACGGCCAGACACGACTCAGTATCTCTAACTTAGCATTAAGAATAAATGGATCTAATATATGACCATTCTCATAATTAAATAAATACAAAAAAATTCACAATAATTAAAATAACATAATTTAAAATTGTTACCGTATCGGCAAAATGACTCGAGATATGATTTCCATCTAAACACAATAACCCACCGTCTATTTTATAACTGCAAAAAGTATTAAGAAAATTAGTAAATTAAATAATAATTAAATAATAAACTTTTAAATGATTATAATATAATAAAAAATTTATAGCTTTTAAAAATGATAACAAAACTTACTTAAAGCTTGCTACAAGAATTGATAAGGAAGAGAAAAAAATTGGCGTGCTTTGAGTGTTGTATGAGAGTGTATTTATAGGGGGAGGGGGTGGGGGGTCGGGGGTGGGCGATTGGACGAAATTAAAGGGGTAGGTGGTAAATTAATAGATGATCCGTAGTTTCTGCCACATGTCAAATTCTCCGTTAAGGCGCGGATTACAATCCTTATTTTTCCATAGTGATGCCAGTTCAGACAGAACTCTAGGAAGGCACGCTTCATGATCCGCGCCTTCCGTCCACGTCTACAAGATGCGTATCCTGAAACGCGCTTTATTATCACTCTACTAGAAAGGATGCTAGATCAATAATATTTGAAGAAAAAATGATGGATACATAATTATTAATTGTTTGGTGATTTTGGAGTAAAAACGCCTAAATAAGAGTAAATAAACAGTAGGGGTACATAAGAGGAGGGGATGGCCAACAAAATCCACCGTCAGTGATGAAACTGGCGCATTGGATTCCCAAAACTTGTCGTCTACAGAGGCCACCACTGAACGGCAGCTCCACGTGCCTTCCACCATTCGCCCAATTTCACGCGCCCCACCCTTTCCACTATACCTCCTCCAAATCACAATATTAACAAAAACATTCAAAATGATTGAAAGTAATTTATTACGTCATTTGCCCTTTTCTTTATTTGTCTCTTTGCAACTCAACTTATCATCCATTGGGATGAAAAGGAAAATCAGATTCAATTGGTTTCAACCCGGTTTTTCTAATCGTGTTGAATTAGATTAGATAATTTTTTTAAAAAAATAGGTTAAATCAGAATTGAGTTTAAGAAGAATTTTTTGTCTTAAATGGAATAATTAAATTTTTTTTTTGGTTGCTTCTAAAACTTTATATTGAATAATCTGAATTGACCCGTGTCATACATCTGATTTTGGTGAGTAAATATCTCAACAGGAATTTTCTGACTACACAAGGACTCAAACCCGAGATCTTAAAGTGATATCAAGTTGCTTTACACTTGAATCAATTCGTGTTGGTGGTTATAAAATATATATATTCTTTACATACTAATATATTATTAATTAAACTTTGATAAAAAAATATATAAAAAATTAACACATAAGATATTATAATATATCACTACATTAAAATTTATTTAAATATTATATTATAAAATTGAAGAAATTAGTATTCTATTAAACCTTTTTTTTTAAATTTTATCACAAATTGTACGACAAATTAAAAGTCAAGATTCCAATTAAATTTTTGAATTGGGTTTATATTAGATAAAATTTTATTATTATAATGTTAGATAAAAATTATAGACCAAAAGCACAATTAATCTAACATATTATCATCCCTAGTAATCATCCATGTAAAACTGAAGTTTATGCTTCGAATTATGCCCTTTCCTTTTCTTGTGTTTTATCTTTTTTAAAATCATAATATTTTGAATCATATTATTATTTATTACTTTTTTTCATTCATTTTTATCAAGTTAAAATTTAAGAATCATTTATAGCTATTCATATATAATTTTCATAATATAATAACGGTTAATGTATTAAGTTAAATCTTAATCCCATATTTTCGTCTCATTCAATATTAATGCTATAATCCTTTGAATTGAACCCCAGAACCAAACTTAAGAATCCAGCCCATGTTATTCTTTTTTACAACAACAAAGAACTTCACTCGAGTGTCCATCAACTCGAAGGCCTGTCGAATCAAAATCTAATCAGAAAGCCTTGTTTAGCTCCATTCAAGAAACATATATGGGTTTTGTAAAATTGGGCTACGCAGATAAATTTCCCAAGAAAATGAGAGGGATGGAAAAGTGGGTTATCTTAGCTTTTATCCAAATGAAGCGAGTTTTAACTTCAACAGATAACAGAGGGGGAGAATGGTGGGAGAAAAGAGAAAACATGGTGGGGGCTTCTTCTTTGCAACCAAGATTCTTGTCTTCTTTTGTTGGTGATCGTTTAGTTCAATAAACTCAACCTCTTTCTCAGCTGTTTCATTTCAACCCAGGTTCTTTTCTTATTTACATTTAAGTTCTGCTGTTTCAAACTTTCCATCGCTGGCTATTATTTGATTTTCTTATTTTCGTCGAGAATAAGATGATATAGTAAAAACCCAGATGGAAATTGATGGTGTTTAGATGAGACGTTGACTGCTTTGAGTTTGGAATCTGATTTTATGTATATATTTGTGCAAGTAAACAGAGATTTGTATTATAGAAATTTCATGAGCATGTTGGTTGGATGCTAAACTGGTCTGAATATTTATTTAGTAGCACTGCTCAATTTGTTTTGCAATTATTATTCAATCTAACAGTGGAAGATAGTTTTGGGTCCAAATTGGATCTGTAAAATTAAGAAATTTTTAACTATTTAGTATAGTTGCAGACTTGCAGTATTGTCTTTCATATTTCACAATTCTGTGGGAGCTCTGACTTTGAATGTTGCAAAGCTATACCACTCTGCCAAAGAGCATGCTTTTGCTGGAATATAGCTAATTATACTCTTCTTAAATATTGTTTAAGTATGGACATATGATCTAGATTTTGCATTTTAGGTCAAAACTTTATATTATGAGATATGAACTATGTTGTCATAAGGAGATTGAGCTAAAGAGTGAAGATGGTTCACCATTAACCTTTTTTTTTCACCTCCTTTTATTTGTGTTATCAGGTCGGAAGCATGTGTCTATGCAATTATCCATATCACTTTCTGGCTTAACCAATCTCTTATTTAATTGAAGGTATGCTAGAGAACTTTCAGATTGCTCATGTTTGCTATTTGTTTCACAGTTTCAAGAAACAGCACCTCGTTTTTTCCCTTTGGATTTTACATTTTAACGAATATCGTTTGACATGATAATATAATGCGTTATATATAGTTTTGTTGTATGTTTCTGTTGCTTACAAATCTTAAGCAGAGGAAATTGAGAATATATTTTCCTTTTGATAATTTATTCTCACACTTCATGTATTAAAAGGTTTTATTGGGAAAAGAAATTCTCAGATTTTATTTATAGGTGGTGATATTTGGGAAAGATATTCTCATATTTTTTCTATTAAAAGGTGATTTCCTGGAAGATATTCTCATAATTCATATACCAACACGTGATAATGTAAAAGAATGCTTCCTTGGTAATCTTTATGGTTTGTTAATAGTAAATGCAAAAGAATGCGTACTTAATAGCTGTTAAGAAACGTGCATAAACAGGAACATAAAAATGCAGAAATCATATTTTTGACAGTTTAATGGTCTTAATCAGGAGCAATTTGGATGACGTTCCAAACAGCAAGCGCAAACGTCTGAGACCTGGGAAGTTATCTCCTCGTCAACCTGTTCCAGATCATAAAAAAAGGCCACCTTATGTTAAATCTCGGATGGCGCCTGGGATTGCTAGAGGTGCAGAAGTGCATGATCTAAAGGGCATAGAACACATGAGAGCTTCTGGAAGGCTTGCAGCTCAGGTTCTCAATTATGCTGGGACCTTAGTGAAGGTGATACAGAATACATGTCCTCCTAATCTATATCATTCAGTTTTTTATTTTTTTATGTTTTCTTTTCATTGTAGAATCCTATACATTTTAGGCTACATTCTTGGTTTGAAGCTGTCTTGTAATCTATTGTTTGTTTCCATTGTTAGTTTACATAAATAGGCAGTCTGAGGGCTGCCTTTGTGCATGAATATTATAGGATATTGGTGGTTTTACTGAAAGTTTTTTATGTTCTATTGGCAGCAGGCATAACAACTGATGAAATTGACGAAGCAGTTCACTAAATGATTATTAATAATGGAGCATATCTGTAGACACTAATTTTCTTAAAAGATAGAGCTAGCAAGAGTTCCTCTCCTAAGAGGACTCTTCTACTACCATATCTTTTAAAGCAACAACCACACCAACAAACGTGCAACAACCGAGCAAGGAGTCTAGTTGCATTATGATTCTATTGTTAGTTAATTTTTTTTCACTATAAATACATGTAATACTCTCAATTTGTAACACACGATATACGAAATAAACAACATAAATTACTAGCAAATCGGAGCAAAAAACGTGATTCTCAAAGAGGAAAATAAGTAGAAAAGGTAAAAGCTTGTACCTTTATCGCTTTAAGTCTTTGCATGTATGTTTCTCCATTATTTTTGCTCGAGTCAAACCCAAATAAAATAATTTTTGGCCGATGAACGGGAAGGTTTTTTTAAAGATCTATCTTGTAGTTTTAGTAATCTCGAGGCCCGATCTTAGAAAATTATTTGGAATTTCGAAAAATAGAGAAGAAAATCTTAAAGTTAAAATATTCATTTTGCCCCCTAATGCGCAATATCAATGTTAATTGTCTTTCAAATTTTGCTCCAATTTTAGCTTTTCTTTTATAATAGTCCTTTGCATATTTTTATTATTTTATTATATATATATATATATATATAATTATCTTCAATTGTTACCTGCATATTTTTATTATTTTATTATATATATATATATATATATATTAATTATTTCAATTGGCTATTTTTTATATTTTTATTTTCTATATTCTATCGTTATATATATACTTTTAATTCTTTTTCATATATCATTATATTTATATATTTATTGCTATAATTATATGTTATATATTTATTATTTTATATTTCATTTTATCTTTTATTTTTTATCTTATCTTATCTTATATTTTTATTTTTGTATTGTTATTATCTTCTTTATTTTATGTATTTTATTTAGAGAAAATCGCCTCAGTGACCAAAAATGCCTTATAATATACGATTTTAACCAACTTTTTTTGATTTGCCAAAATGACCAACAAAATCGCAACGCGATATCAAAATCGCAACGCGATTTAGAAAAGCGCAACGTTGAAAAGAAGATCGCAACACGATCTTCCAAGAATCGCAATGCGATTCATAATTCCTTGGTAATCTTTATGGTTTGTTAATAGTAAATGCAAAAGAATGCGTACTTAATAGCTGTTAAGAAACGTGCATAAACAGGAACATAAAAATGCAGAAATCATATTTTTGACAGTTTAATGGTCTTAATCAGGAGCAACTTGGATGACGTTCCAAACAGCAAGCGCAAACGTCTGAGACCTGGGAAGTTATCTCCTCGTCAACCTGTTCCAGATCATAAAAAAAGGCCACCTTATGTTAAATCTCGGATGGCGCCTGGGATTGCTAGAGGTGCAGAAGTGCATGATCTAAAGGGCATAGAACACATGAGAGCTTCTGGAAGGCTTGCAGCTCAGGTTCTCAATTATGCTGGGACCTTAGTGAAGGTGATACAGAATACATGTCCTCCTAATCTATATCATTCAGTTTTTTATTTTTTTTTATGTTTTCTTTTCATTGTAGAATCCTATACATTTTAGGCTACATTCTTGGTTTGAAGCTGTCTTGTAATCTATTGTTTGTTTCCATTGTTAGTTTACATAAATAGGCAGTCTGAGGGCTGCCTTTGTGCATGAATATTATAGGATATTGGTGGTTTTACTGAAAGTTTTTTATGTTCTATTGGCAGCCAGGCATAACAACTGATGAAATTGACGAAGCAGTTCACTAAATGATTATTAATAATGGAGCATATCTGTAGACACTAATTTTCTTAAAAGATAGAGCTAGCAAGAGTTCCTCTCCTAAGAGGACTCTTCTACTACCATATCTTTTAAAGCAACAACCACACCAACAAACGTGCAACAACCGAGCAAGGAGTCTAGTTGCATTATGATTCCTATTGTTAGTTAATTTTTTTCACTATAAAACATGTAATACTCTCAATTTGTAACACACGATACGAAATAAACAACATAAATTACTACAAATCGGAGCAAAAAACGTGATTCTCAAAGAGGAAAATAAGTAGAAAAGGTAAAAGCTTGTACCTTTATCGCTTTAAGTCTTTGCATGTATGTTTCTCCATTATTTTTGCTCGAGTCAAACCCAAATAAAATAATTTTTGGCCGATGAACGGGAAGGTTTTTTTAAAGATCTATCTTGTAGTTTTAGTAATCTCGAGGCCCGATCTTAGAAAATTATTTGGAATTTCGAAAAATAGAGAAGAAAATCTTAAAGTTAAAATATTCATTTTGCCCCCTAATGCGCAATATCAAAGTTAATTGTCTTTCAAATTTTGCTCCAATTTTAGCTTTTCTTTTATAATAGTCCTTTGTTGTTACCTGCATATTTTTTATTATTCTTATTATATATATATATATATATTAATTATCTTCAATTGGCTATTTTTTTTTATATATTTTTTATTTTCTATATTCTATCGTTATATATATATATACTTTTAATTCTTTTTCATATATCATTATTATTTATTATATTTTTATTGCTATTATATGTTATATATATTTATTATTTTATATATTTCATTTTATCTTTTATTTTTTTATCTTATCTTATCTTATATTTTTATTTTTGTATTGTTATTATCTTCTTTATTTTATGTATTTTATTTATAGATATATTTTTATATTTGTTTTTGTGCCTCTTTATTTTATTTTATTTATCTTGCTTACATCTTCTTTATCTGTTTTATTTATCTACTTTATTGCATTTATTTTTATTTCACCTTCTTATTTTATCATTTTTACTACATTTTTATCTAACATGTTTCTTGACTTCCTAAAGGGTACTCTTTTAAAACTATCAAGGGTAAGTATTTGGGATCGTTATTTTACCTTTCAAGTTAAACTTTCAATTTTCTTAATTAAAGACAATTGGAAATTACATAGTACCGAAAGGGCAGTTCAAGGGTGCTAACCCTTCCTTGACTGTAACCGACTACCGAATCGACACATCTTTGTTACGACGCAGATCAAGTAAGTAATAAGGTATCCGATCAACCCATTTTTCATAAAATAAATGATCGGTGGCGACTCCCAACCCAATTATTTCAAGTCGAAGCCCAATTCGGGGCCCAACTGAAAAACGATTATGATAGATTGGCGACTCCGCTGGGGACAGGTAAGTGAGTCAGGCAAAAGGTAATTTCCAGTTTTCTTTTTAACGAAAAAGGTAAGTTTAAATTTTAAGGTAACATTTCGATCATTTTTTACTTACTTTTGATTATATTTTCGGGTAAATAGTTATACTAATTATTTTCTCGTGATTTCAGCCTTCAAATCTTTTTCATTTAAGGCTCTATACCCGAGCTCCAAACCCTGTCTTAAGTGGGGGTGAAAGCAACGCCTTCATGTGAATTTATTCACCGTGCGGGTATAGCAAGTAGCCTTCGGGATTCATATACCTTATGTCTTCGTGTGAATTTATTCACCGTGCGGGCATAAGGAAATGTGTCCTCTCGAGTTTAACTTAGTCCACACAAGCCTGTGATGAGTTTAAGACTAAGGGTCTGGCAAGCCCAAGGGGGCACCGGAGAACTCGAGTATCGTTTTTAGAACCTAAACCGGGAAACCATGGAGAATTAGAGCCTACCCCAAACCACATTCCAAAACCTAAGATATTTTTACCCTAACCATTTTCTTTTTTGTGTTTTTTTTTCTTTCGTCATTTTTTTATTTTTTATTTTACTAATCCTTTTGCTTTTGTGTTTGTTTTCTAGCATTTGCATCATAACAAGAGGTTATTGATCATTAAAAAGCGTATGTTAAACACAAAATAAATATGAATTAATGAACAAAGGTGTTGTAATACAAGAGATTAAAAACGCTGAGGCACGACTATGGTCCAAGAAGACTCGGAAAGAGAAGTGAGACAGTCTTCAGGGAAATTATGTGTCAGAGCTTGTTAGTTACGCATCTGTCAGCCTGAAACAAAACGATGTCCAAGAACTGCGAAATATTTGGGACAATTGGGGGAATGACAGAAAGCAGAAGTTCAGCCAACGATATGGTGATATTTCCCTCTTACTCCATGTCAAGACTGATGAACCCCCTGCTCCGAGCATTAATTCAATTCTGGAACCCGGGATATAGTTGTTTCACCTTTAACCGGGAGGACATGGTGCCCACAATTGAAGAGTATACTACCCTACTGCACTGCGAAAACATCATACTAGAGGGCATATATCAAACACATCAAGAGTCAGCCTTTCAAGAACGGACTAGCTAAGATTGCAGGGGTTGATGAAAAATGGGTGACTGATCGACTTCGACACAAAGGTAACGGGGAAAGAATCGAGTGGATTCACATAAGGCAACTAATGAAGAACTACCCTGATGAATGGAAGATTATAGACCTTTTTTCACTAGGTCTGTACGATCTGGTTGTCTTTCCGAAGACTTTGGGCTGCATCGACGCAGCCGTGGTAGAGCTATTCGAACAACTTCCAAGGTGAGTCAACTCAGCACCGGCCATCTTAGCTGAAACATTTCGATCTCTCAACCATTACAGAAGAACTGGCAGAGAAAGGTTCATTGGGTGTATTCAATTCCTTCAAGTCTGTATTTACAGCCACTTTTGGAAGACTAATGGGGTAGCCTATCGCCGATTCAGCACTACCTATTCACCTTTGGGAGAATTCATCACTAGGAAATGGCATGAAGGTGCTTCAAAGGAAAAGTGGATGAAAGGTTTTACACATCTTCAGGATCGGGATATTACCTGGAGAGCCCCCTGGTTGTTCCTCGGTGACGTTCTTTTTCGGTGTGGGGATTCTGATACTATGAACTTACTTGGACTTTGGGGTGCAGTTGGGTATGCTCCGTTGTTAGCACTTAGACAGTATGGGGCACGTCAGTTTGTCCCGGTAACATGCGGGCTAGCTAGATCAGAGTTTGTGTATAATGGTGACATTTATAAGAAGAGGATCAAGGAAGCAGTTGATTCGTGGAAGAAAGTATGTCGGTTGGATTTGTGGCTGCCAGAGAGATACTTACTCCGGATTATGTGGAGTGGCGAAGACTGAGAAAGAATGATAACATCACGGTGCCAGAATGTGAAGACACCCAGACCATGGAGGAGCATCTCAGGCGTGTCCCTTCTGAACTTGAGATAGCTAAGGTAGAGTTTGAAGCTGTGAATAACGAGCTGAAACAGAAGGTTAAAGAACTGGAAGCTAAACGTTATCAATGGAAGCTAGATGTTGAATCTCAGAAAGATAGAGCAGATAAGCTGGAAAGAGAACAGAAAAGAGTCCGTTTTGAGCTCGAGGATTTGAGAAAAGGGTATTAAGATAAAGTCAAGGATAATTCCAAGTTGAAAGTAACCTCTGAATACTGGAAAGATGAAGTTCATAGCTTAAAAAGAAAGTTTGAGGGGTCTGATAAAAGAGCTTGGAAAGAACAACTAAAAATTGCTCAGAGACGCTTAGCAAACAGTCAGCATCAAAATCAATGCTTGAGAATCCAGATGGCTGACCTAGAAAAACAACATGAGAGAGATGGAAAAACAATATTTGAGTTAGAAGTTATTGTGGATGGATTCAAGAAGCAAGCAGCCAAGCTTCAGATAGTACCCTTCGACGGAGGTCTGCAGTGGCGTTTCCTTTGGGAGCAAGCACAACAAAGGGTGAAAGCTAGAGACGCAGTCATCCGAGATTTCCTGGATCAAGTGCAAAAAGCAGTCTGTCATATTCACGGCCTGGCAAGGGAAGCTGGAGTGGTTCGACAAGGCATTAAACCAATGATAGATGAAGGTAGAAAACTTGTCAACCTACTGAAGCTGTTTGGGGTTTAGAGGATTTAGTCTGAACGTACCTTTGATTGTTTTTTTATGTCTCTTACAAGATAAAACATTTCTGTCTAAATAAGGATTATTTATAATAATAGACACTTTTCTGGATCAATGCCTCTAAATTGCATACATTGTGCATTGCATACTTTGCATTTTATATTTCATGTTTATTTTTATATTTTCCATGTTTTTACATTCATATTAACTAACAGAACATGTCTCAGAAATGGAAAGAGCAAACACCAAATTTACCACCGCAAGCATTAAATACGCATCATCCACATAATACTCAAGCAAAGAAGAGACAAATGGAGTACAAAATGGAAAAACTCGAGGAGAACATGGCAAGACTGCAAAAAGAACTAGAAGATAAAATGGCTCAAAACAATCAGAGTCCATCAAGAAAAACCAGGAGTCCTTGGTCGACCAAATTGTAGCCAAGTTATCGGGATTACAACAAGCTAGTGCAGTAGGGGGAAGTCCCTCCGAGGGGTTAACCATATCACCAACCCCACAAGTGGTTATTTCACCCGGGATCTTACCCAAACCATAAGAAAACTCCTATGCTGTCAAAGGAAAAACATCATATGCTGTAAAGGTGCAAACTTCCACAACTAATCCTGATAATCATCCGGATGATTACAATATCCCGGATTTCAATAAAGATGAAAAAGCAAGAAAGATGGAAGAGAAGATCAAGATGTTAGAAGATCGAATGAAGATGGTCCAAGGGGACCATGATTATTATGGAGTGGACGCAAGAGAGCTAAGCCTAGTTCCAAATTTGGTGCTTCCGCCAAAGTTTAAAGTTCCTGAGTTTGAGAAGTTCGATGGGAACAGCTGCCCATCAGCCCATATCATTATGTTCTGTCGAAAGATGACATGATATGGAGATAATGACCAACTCTTGATCCACTGCTTTCAGGAGAGCCTGTTCCGGTTCAGCTATCCGATGATACAACCAACTCAACCAAACTCATATCAAGACATGGAAAGACCTAGCCAAGTCTTTCCTGGAGTAATACAAATATATTAATGATATGAGACTAGATCGAGTTATGCTACAAGGCCTGGAAAAGAAGCACAACGAGAGTTTCCGACAATACACACATCGTTGGAGGGATTTGTCTGTGTAGGTTCATCCACCCTTGGATGAAAATGAGACTAGAAAGTTGTTTGTATAAACCCTGAAGACACCTTACTTCGGGCACCTGGTGGCAATTACGTCGGGAGGTTTTTCAGACCTAGTCATGGCCGGTGAAATGATTGAGTTGGCCATTAAACAAGGAAAAATTGAGGGAGGAGACTCTAGTAAAAATCCTCCCACGAAGAACAAAGACCGAGAGATCAACAATGTCAACACTTACAACGTCAACAAGGGTGTTATGGTCTCAAGCTCAAAAAACACTACAGCTGTACCATCTGGTACTTCAAACCAAGCTCAGAGAGAACCAAGGAAAGAAAGGGAGCAGATCGATCCCATTCCCATGACATATAAAGAGCTATATCAACAACTCTTCGATACTCATGTAGTGTCGCCTTACCCAATGGATCCGATGAAGCCCCCGTACCCGAGATGGTATGAAGAAAAAGCTCACCGCGAATATCATGGCAGTGTGTAGGGACATTCAATCGAAGGTTGTCTCACATTCAAGAGGCTTGTACAACGAATGCATAACAGGAATTGGATCACTTTCGACTCTGAAACACCAAACGTTGCCCATAATCCATTGCCTAATCATCCGGAGACCGAAATTAATGCAATCACCACCAAAAATGGTAGGAGAATTAAAACCAGTGTTTCAGAAGTCAAAGCTCCTCTGGCTTGGGTATGGAGCCAAATGGTAAAGGCAGAGCTTCTTACACCACAGTCATGTGCAGCAAAGGGTGAAGGTGGTAACTATTGTTGTTATCACAATGAAGAGGGACATAAAGTGCAAGAATGCTCTGAATTCAGGATATTAGTCCAGCTCATGATGGACCAAAAAGAGTTGGAGTTTTACGAAGAAGTTCAGGATTCCCTGGAGGCAGATGTTTACGCTACCGGAGAATCACCAGACAAAAGACTCGGTAGGGGTAGTCCTTTGGTTATTACTCCTAAACCAAAGATGATAACATCAACTCTGCAAGAAAAGGTGGTGATCACGGCACCTCGACCTTTTCAATACAAGGATAGTCGACAAGTGCCTTGGAAGTACGAATGCCAGGTAAGAGCTTCCAAAGAATGTGACAGCAAGGTGGGGCAAAGACCACTAGAGCCCTTCAAGGAAGATATATTGGCTATCAATGAACCTATAAAGGAGAAGGAAGCTAAAGAATTCCTCAAATTCTTGAAGCATAGCGAGTACAGTATTGTAGAACAGCTCCACAGCTTGCCAATGCGCACTTCAATGTTGGCACTTTTATTAAACCTGAAGCACATCGGGAGGCATTGTTGAAAGTCCTGAATCAAACGTTTGTGCCACAAGACATACCAGTCAGCAAGATGGATCGCTTGGTAAGTAATATTCAAGCTGATAATCTCATCTCATTCTCAGATGATGAGATTCCATCCGGAGAAAGAGGCCAAACTAAGGCATTACACATCACTACTTATTATAAAGGGCATGCCTTACCGAGTGTGTTGATCGATAACGGCTCAGCCTTGAACGTGATGCCTTTGGTGACATTGAAGAGGCTGCCAATAGATACCTCTCATATGAGAGCCTTCCAGAACGTGGCCCGAGTATTTGACGGGACCAAGAGAGAGTAATTGGCAAGATTGAGGTACCGCTAACGATCGGACCAGCCACCTACAACATTGAGTTTCTGGTGATGGATATTATGCCTTCTTACAACTGTCTTTTGGGAAGGCCATGGATTCATCAAGCTGGTGCAGTACCATCCACACTGCACCAAAAGGTTAAATTTGTTATTACGGGGCCTTAGTAATTATCAATGCTGAGGAAGATATTATGGCAAGTGTGACCACGGAGGCCCCATACATCGGAGTAGATGAAGAAGCGGTGGAATGTTCATTCCATTCCTTGGAATTTGTGAATGCCACCTTTGTGGCAGAAGGAAGAACGATTCCTGGACCCCGGCTTTCCAAGTGTACCAGGATGGAGATCATGCAAACATTGGGATGAGGTGCCAAGACTGGAAAAGGGTTTGGGAAGTTTCTGCAAAGGAGGATTGATCCAGTCCTTCCTATTTCAAAGCCAGACCGTTTGGGCTCAGCTTTCAACCCAGTTACCATGAGAAGAGAAAAGAAATTCAGAAGAACCGAGAGAGAAGACTAGCCAGGCTGATTGGAAGTGAACTTCAATGGGAACCCATGATATTTTCGCCTCTTTGCCACACATTCAAGTCAGGTGGTTATGTATTTGAGACCACCTTATCAGACTTAGAAACGAATTTGGAAGATCTGAGCATCAATGCCGTGACCACTGGAAATGCTTACAGCGAAGATGAATTTGGGATATGCCCTCTGCCACCTAGGTTCGTGCCTAGAAGTTGGTCGGTCGAATAACTACATGTGGTTTACAAGAGTCTTTCAGAGTAATATTCGAACTACCCCTATTTGCCTATACCCGGGGCAATAGGTAATCTTTTGTAAGGGCGAATAAAAATTTGGTTTAAGTTCAATAAAAGATACATTTTTCTCTTCCCATGGCAAACAAAATTTCCTTTATTTCCTTTTGAATTCATTGTCTATCTTCTTTATTTCAGTACTTCATTTCCTTTCTCTCGAATTTAATTCTTGATTATTTCATGTGGGATATTTTCCTCTCACACATGCACATTTTCCCTTCTTTCAGATCCCCAATAACAATAATGTAGGCACTAATGATCCTGATCCGGAGGTAGATTTTGAATCAGCTATTTGTCTTGGGGAATTTGATGAATGAGACACTGAAGAGGAATGTAACTTGCCTACCGAATTGTTGAGAATAGTAGAAAGAGAAGATAAACAAATACTGCCCCATAAAGAGACAATCGAAATCTTAAATCTGGGCACTAAGGAATACTAAAAAGAGGTTAAAATCGGCACAACTCTTTCGACAGAAGTAAGCCACAACCTAATACTCTTACTTCAGGAGTACAGAGAGGTGTTCACCTGGTCATATCAAGACATGCCGGGATTTGACACAGATATGGTAGTCCACAAATTGCCTATCAAACTAGAATGTAAACTAGTGCAGCCGAAACTGAGAAGGATGCGACCAGAAATGTTCCTTAAGATCAAGGAAGAAGTCAAGAAACAATTTGATGCCGATTTTCTTCAAGTGGCCAAATATCCAGATTGGGTGGCTAACATAGTGCTTGTACCGAAGAAGGACGGGAAAGTACGTATGTGTATCGATTACCGGGACCTTAACAAGGCAAGTATCAAGGACAACTTTCCTCTGCCACACAGAGACACCTGGTGGACAATACAGCCGGGAACAACTACTTTTCATTCATGGATGGATTCTCGGGGTACAATCAGATCAAGATGCACCCTGAAGACATGGAGAAGACCACTTTCGTCACAATATGAGGAACTTTCTGTTACAAAGTGATGCCTTTCGGATTAAAGGACGCTGGGGCAACATACCAGAGAGACATGGTGACCCTGTTCCATGACATGATGCATAAAAAAATCGAGGTTTATATCGACGACACGATTGTCAAAGCACAGACCGAAAATGAACATGTCGAGCATTTGAGAAAGCTCTTCCAGAGATTGAGGAAGTTCCAGCTACGACTAAACCCTAGCAAGTGTACTTTTGGGGTGACGTCCGGAAAACTGTTAGGCTTCGTGGTCAGCAGAAAAGGTATTGAGGTTGATCCCGACAAAGTTAAGGCTATCCAGAATCTACCTCCACCTTAAACACAAAAAGAGGTCTGAGGTTTTTAGGTAGATTGAATTACATAGCTCGGTTCATATCTCAGTTAACCGATAAGTGTGATCCAATCTTTCGCATTCTCCGAAAGAACAGCCCTGGAGCATGGGATGAAAACTGTCAGATTGCATTCGAGAAGGTAAAAGTACTTGTCTCATACTCCCATCTTAATGTCCCCCATCCTAGGTAAACCTCTTTTCTTGTATCTATCCATATTCGAGAACTCAATAGGGTGTGTCCTGGGTCAACATGACGAATCTGGAAGAAAGGAAAGAGCCATATACTATTTAAGCAAAAAGTTCACTGATTGTAAGGTCAGGTATCCTCCTATTGAGAAGGTTTGTTGTGCTTTAGTTTGGGCTACAAAAAGACTCTGACAATATATGTTGTATCATACCACTTGGCTGATTTCCAAGATGAATCCACTAAAATACATGATGGGTGTGCCTGCTCTATCTGGAAGGTTAGCCCGATGGCAAATGTTATTGTCTGAATTCAACATCAACTACGTGAGCCAGAAGGCCATAAAAGGAAGTGCCATATCAGATTTCTTGGCAAGCAGAACTGATGAGAATTATGAGCCATTAGACTTTGATTTCCCAAATGAAGACTTGATGGCTTTATCTTTAGAAGAAACAAGTACTTCGACAGATAATTCCTGGAGAATGTACTTCGATGGGGTATCCAATGCATTAGGACATGGCATCGGGGCAATACTGATCTCTCCAAAAGGGAGTCACTACCCATTTACCAGCAGACTGAACTTCGATTGTACCAATAACATGACAGAGTATGAAGCATGTGTCTTGGGAATTCGAGCTGCACTGGGGCAAAATATAAAGACCTTGCGGATATACGGAGATTCGACATTAGTAATCTATCAGCTCCGTGGAGAATGGGAAACCAAAGATACAAAATTGATAGAATACCGGAAGCTAATACTGAACCTGCTCGAAGAATTCGATGAAGTTACCTTCCACTATGTGCCGAGAGAAGAAAATCAAATGGCTGATGCTTTGGCTACCTTGGCAGCCGTATTCAAAGTTAGCGCGGAGTCTGAAATGATGCCAATTAACATGCAGTTGTATGAGTACCCGTTCATTGCTACCAGATTGAAGAAGTAAAAGACACTGAGCCTTGGTACTACGACATTTTGCAGTATATCAAGCATCGAAGTTATCCAGAGGAAGCCACTGAAACTGATAAAAGAACCATTAGAAGGATGTCAGCTGGATACGTCCTTGATGGGGAGGTCTTGTACAAGAAAAGCCATAATCAAGTTCTGTTAAGGTGCGTCGATACTGAAGAGGCAAAAATGATAATGGAAGAAGTACATGACAGAGTTTGTGGAGCACATGCAAATGGACATATGATGTCGAGACAAATAATGAGATGCGGATATTTCTGGTCCACACTGGAAAGTGATTGCATTAACTATGCTAGAAGATGTCATAAATGTCAGATTTACGGAGATAAAATAAATGTTCCACCTCATCCACTTCATGTCATGACGTCACCATGGCCTTTCTCTATGTGGGGCATGGATGTTATTAAGCAAATCCATCCGAAGGCTTCGAATGGTCATCGTTTTATCCTTGTAGCCATCGATTATTTCACCAAGTGGGTAGAGGTTGCTTCCTATGTCAGTTTCACTCAATCCGTTATTTGCAAGTTTTTGAAAAAAGAGATCATATGTCGGTATGGTTTACCTGAAAGGATCATTACCGATAATGCTACAAACTTGAACAATAAAATGATGAAAGTTGCTTGTGAGCAATTCAACATAAAGCATCACAATTCTACTACCTACAGACCAAAGATGAACGGTGCAGTAGAAGCAGCAAACAAAAACATCAAAAAGATAGTGGAGAAAACGACCGAGACCTATAAAGACTAGCATGAGAAGTTGCCTTTCGCTTTGTTCGCTTACCGAACCTCAGTACAAACCTCGACTGGGGCAACTCCATTTTCATTAGCTTATAGAATGGAAGCAGTGCTACCCATTGAAGTAGAAATTCCGTCATTACGGGTCTTGACAGAAGTTAAATTGGATGACGCAGAATGGGTGCAATCCAAATATGACCAGCTTAATATTATAGATGAAAAGAGACTAAAAGCCATTCACCATGGTCAAATCTATCAGAAACAAATGATTCGAGAACATGATAAGAAGGTACGCCCGAGAATATTCCGTGAAGGAGATCTGGTGCTAAAGAGAATTTTGCCAGTCCAGAAAGATTTCCGAGGAAAATGGACACCAAATTAGGAAGGACCTTATGTCGTGAAAAAGGCCTTCTCCGGAGGAGCCCTTGTCCTGGCTGAAATGGACGGACCCGAAATGCTACATCCCATCAATTCGGATGCAGTCAAGAAATACTTTGCTTAGGATGAAAACCCAAAAGGGCGTCCTAAGTAAAAAAAATGAAAAACGTTTAGGGTGAAAACCCGAAAGGGCGCCCTAAATTGAAAAAATTGAAAAAAGAGAAAAAATAACAAAAAAAGAAAAACAAAAAATAAGGTGGGTTCAAGATGAAAACCCGCAAAGGGCGTCTTGCAACCAATGATGAGTCTAAGTTGAAAACCCGAAAGGGCGATTTGGATAATTCAAGAAATCCAGACAGTTGAAACTCCCCGGCATTTGAATTTTCCACAGACTCAACGAGTCGGAGAAAAGTTGCACTATCCTGAATGTTATCGCACTCTCAAAGATCCTTTGGCAAAGGCTGTATTCAAGGTCACCTAACGAATTTTCAGCTCAGAAGTGCCCACATTATTGAAATCTAAGACATTCATTTACACCTCATCATGTCTTCATCTTCCAGAATATTTTCCATGTGTTATTTGTTCTTTTTTTCCTCATGAATAAAATACAATCTTTTTTTCTCCAAACCAATTCCTTTTTAGCATCTTGGATTGAGCTTAAGCTTAATGATTTATTTACTTATGCAAAAGATATTTGCATATTACTGTACAAAGATTCATTAAAAGTACATGTACTAGGAAGCCGATCAAGGCTCATGCATATACTTGAGATGGTCGAGAAGCATTTCCCAGACCAAGGATAAAAAACAAACATCAGATTTGAATATTTGAAGAATTCAAGATCAAGGATCGAAACTTCAAGATTCCAGAATCAAAATTCCAAATAGGTCTTAGCTAGAGTCAATATCAACTTCGCGGCGAAGGATATTGAACTCGAAGCGACACAATTTGTTCAAGAGTAGATTTCAACCTCGCAACGGAGGATATCTAGCTCGAAGCCAAACTTCACAATAAAAGGGACATCCACGGTTTCAACCTCACGAAGAAGGGAATCGTGTCCACCCGCAATATGCAATACTTGGATTTCAACTTTATGACGAAGGATATCCAAGTCAAGTCTCAACTTCACGATGAAGGGGTCATCCGCGATTTCATCTCCACGACGGAGGATATTGTACCCGCACATCCATGATTTCAACTCCACGACGGAGGATATCGTGCCATTTGAGGCTTAACTCCACGACGAAGAGGCTTCCCAGTTTCATAGCTAATTTTAACTTCACAGCGAGGGATATTGGACTCAAGACAACACAAGCTCAACTTCACAACGAATGATAGACTAATTGTCAACAAACAACTTTTCAGTTTCATTCAGAGTCAATTTTAACTTCACATCGAAGGATATTGAACTCGAGACAACACAAGCTCAACTTCACAGCGAAGGGGCGGCTGACTGTCAACAAACATTTTCCAGAGCCAATTTTAACTTCACGACGGAGGATATTGGACTTGGAACAATACTACCTACTTGGATTTCAACTTCACGATAAAGGATATCCAATTACCAGGCTCAACTTCACGATGAAGGTGCCACTCGCGGTTTTAACTTCACGACGAAGGGAATCGTGCACACAAGCAGCATCCATCTCTAGATTGGATTTCAACTTCATGACGAAGGAATCCAACTCAAAAAAGGGTTATATGTCAACAAAGACCTTCGAGTTCGACTATGCTCAGCTCCAAGGCACATCATTTACAGCATAGCTCAAGGCAAGAAGGGCTATCTGTCAATAAAATTATCGAGTTTGATTCCATTCAGCTCGATAACACCTCAATCACACTATTGTCCGGCTGCAATCGAAGTTTTCAAGCCGAGAAGAAGATCTGGGTTAGCCGTGCCTTAGTAGCAAGAAGCCTTTTTTCTGTCAGTATAGCTTAAGTCGAGAAAAGCTATCTGTCAGCGAAGACTTTTCGAGTTCGGTTTCATTCAGCTCGAGGGCATATCAACCATATTGTGGAGTCAGGAGATTACTTTCCAGTCGAATTTTTAGCCAAGGTCTTTAAACCGAGAAGAAGACCAAAGTGAACTACAACGAGAAGCCACATTCTGATTCAAATCATTTCAAGATTGACTCGATTTCGCCACGGAGGAGCCATCCACAACTCAATTCGACAGGGAATTATTCTTCAACTCCATTGAATGAAAATTTGTGTCTTTTTATCTTTGTTCTATTTTTTGTTCCATGAAAAAGGACAAAGAGGGGCAGCTGTAGACACCAATTTTCTTAAAAGATAGAGCTAGCAAGAGTTCCTCTCCTAAGAGGACTCTTCCACCACCATATCTTTTAAAGCAACAACCACACCAACAAACGTGCAACAACCGAGCAAGGAGTCTAGTTGCATTAGGATTCTATTATTAGTTAGTTTTTTTTCACTATAAATACATGTAATCCTCCCCATTTGTAACACACGATATACGAAATAAACAGCAGAAATTACTAGCAAATTGGAGCAAAAAATGTGATTCTCGAAGAGGAAAATAAGTAGAAAAGGTAAAAGCTTGTACCTTTATTGCTTTAAGTCTTTGCATGTATGTTTCTCCATTATTTTTTTTCGAGTCAAACCCAAATAAAATCATTTTTGGCCGATGAACGGGAAGGTTTTTTTTAAAGATCTATCTTGTAGATCTAGTAATCCCGAGGCCCGATCTTAGAAAATTATTTGGATTTTTGAAAAATAGAGAAGAAAAGCTTAAAGTTAAAACATTCATTTCGCCCCCCTAATGCGCAATATCAACATTAATTATCTTTCAAATTTGGCCCCAATTTTAACTTTTGTTTTATAATAGTCCTTTGTTGTTACATGCATATTTTTATTATTTTATATATATATATATATATATATATATATATATATATATAATTATCTTCATTTGGATATTTTTTTATATTTTTTATATTTTTTATATTCTATCGTTATTTTTATATATATATACTTTTAATTCTTTTTCATATATCATTATTATTTATATATATTTTTATTACTATAATTATATTTTATATATATTTATTATTTTATATATTTCATTTTATCTTTTATTTTTTTATCTTATATTTTTATTTTGTATTGTTATTGTTATTATCTTCTTTATTTTATGTATTTTATTTATATATATATTTTTATATTTGTTTTTGTGCCTCTTTATTTTATTTTATTTATCTTGTTTACATCTTCTTTATCTGTTTTATTTTCTCTACTTTATTGCATTTATTTTTATTTCACATTCTTTATTTTATTCATTTTTACTACATTTTTATCTAACATGTTTCTTGACTTCCTAAAGGATACACTTTTAAAACTATCAAGGGTAAGTATTTGGGATCGTTATTTTACCTTTCAAATTAAACTTTCAATTTTCTTAATTAAAGACAATTGGAAATTACATAGTACCGAAAGGGCAGTTCAAGGGTGCTAACCTTTCCTTGACTGTAACCGACTACCGAATCCGACACATCTTTGGTATGACGCATATCAGGTAAGAAATAAGGTATCTGATCAACCCATTTTTCATAAAATAAATGATCGGTGGCGACTCCCAACCCAATTATTTCAAGTCGAATCCCAATTCGGGGTCCAACCAAAAAACGGTTACGACAATATCCATCACCCCTTGGCTATGGTGGATTTCCAAAAAGTGTCTGCACCTCAGTGAATGAATGCATTTGCCATGGCATACCAGATTCTCGTCCACTGGAGATCCTTTCTGTTTAGGTTCTTAAACTGCTTCTTGTATTGTCATGTTATTTTTTACGAATATAGAAAATCCTAGTCTGCATTTTCTTTGCAGGATGGTGATATAATCAATATTGATGTCACTGTGTATCTAAATGTAAGTAACATTTTCTACTTCTTATTTCTGAGTGAATGAAGAGGCTTGTCCTTAAGTAGTTTTCTCATTTAATTCAATCAATTGCCTACCACATATTTCTGAGTTGATTTTTCTGTGTATTTTTGGCCAAGGAGATTATCAGATGTTGACCTCGTTGTTTCTTTACTGATAATTCTCTACTGCAATTTTCAACTTCTGCTCTTTATGTTTTATAGTGGTCATTTATGGAATTGTAGGGTTATCATGGTTATACGTCAGCAACTTTCTTTTGTGGAGATGTTGATGAGGAAGCAAGGAAACTTGTGAAGGTAACTATTTGTACGTTTATCTCTAAAGAGTAATATGAACTTGTAATAATAGTTAGATAAATGGATTCTTTTCAATTAGAAAGTACTTTACTTTTAAATTATAACATCTTGTCATGATGAGGAAGCAAGGAAACTTGTGAAGGTAACTATTTGTACGTTTATCTCTAAAGAGTAATATGAACTTGTAATAATATTTAGATAAATGGATTCTTTTCAATTTGAAAGTGCTTTACTTTTAAATTATAACATCTTGTCATGGTTGGGCAGATCCATAAACAGATCCCTCTTCCACAAGATTTTCTTCTCTGAAAAGATGGATAAAGATAAATGACTCTTGATGGTGGAACATAATATAAGTAATAAAACAGTCATTGCCATATTTAGAGGTTTAATCATCTTGCCCGTTATCTGATCTCACGAAAGACTAAGGTTTCTCAAGTACAGTTCAATAGCTGGACTTAAACGGGAATGATTCTTCTTAGAAGGAGCTAGTATATGTGCATTATAACTGTAAAGGAAGACATAAAAGGAGACCATTGTCGAACTTAATGATCCTTTTTCTTTTTCTTGGCCACTGTCTTGCATTAATTTTGTTTGTTACTTCTTGAATTTTTAAGTATCCCCTTTTTTACTTTTTGAAATTTACTTTTAGACTTAATTTTAGTTCATAGTTTGTTTCACCTATGGTTTTCAATCCCAATCACATGTTTAATAGTATTCTTGATGGTGATGTATGATTAGGTAACCAAAGAATGCCTAGATAAAGCTATAGCAATATGTGCATCAGGAGTGGAGTTCAAGAAAATTGGCAAAAACGATTAAGGCAACCAATAATATATAGCTTTGTGCATGTTGTAGACACCCGTTTTTTTCCCGTTCTAATTGTTTATTATTAATTATTATTATTATTATTTTAATTATTATCATTATTATTAATATTTTTTCTTTTATTATTTTTACAGATTACAAATTGGCTCAAACCAAATTACAAGGGCCCAACTACAACAGAATCCAAGCCCATCCACCTGCCAGCCTATCAGGAAACAATGCAGCCCGCAACAGCATCCAAGCCCACTCGGTTTAGGCCCAGAATGAAGCCCACAGTACCCAAACAACTAGGGTTTTTCACCTTTAGCTCTAGTCGCCTCTAATCTCCACCGTTGGATCTGGAGGGAGATCAACGGTCTAGATCGCCCGGAGTTTAGGGGTTTACCCTAACAAATATCAATAGTTTCCACCAACATCAAAATCCGGCCGTTCGATGGCGCGCGTGCATCTTCCATTATTCCCGTCGTGTGAGCCGCCACCAGAGCTCCACATCGCCGTCGTCGTCAGCAACAGACCCAAACAGTGATAGAAAACCACCCAGTCAGTCGAAAATCTCACCAAATCCCAAAACCCCATAAAAAATCCTAAATCCCGATAAGTCGGGAAAATGGTGCCCATACTGATAGGTCTCATGATTTCCACCCAATAAACAACAATAAATCAACATGCAAGCTTTTTTTCGAATAGAGAAAGAGAATAAAAAACCATCATATTCGAACAAAAGGGTTTTTTTCGAACCAAAAAAGAGAAGAGGAAGCTTTCGAACAATAAGAAAACCCACCACTTTCGAACAAAGAACCCCTCGAAAATAAATAAAAAAATCAAAGAAAAGACTACCTTTGTTCTTGACTGGAATTGTGATCTCCATCGAGCCAAAGCCTTCAACTTATGAACTTAACCACTAGATTTATTTTAAATCTAAGTTGAAGGGTTATGTTTTAGGGGCTTTAGGCTTGGTTTTCGGCTTATGGATAAGGAGGGGTTTCATTTGGGGCTAACTTAGCCCTCGATTGGTGCCGACCTATGGTGGCCGGAGTGGATTGCCACGGTAGTATAGGGGGAGTTTTGGATAGAGTTCTCTCCCTTGTTTCTTTAGGAAGCGACTATGGGGAGTATAAAATGAAATTAGGGTTTCAAAATACCCTTAAAATGAGTTATATCATAACCATCATGTGGCGTTGTTTTGGCAAGGGGAGATCGACTGCCTGGGTTATGGGATGATAGCAGCTTTGGTCTTTTTTGCTTTGTAATATCACCCGTTGGCCATTAAATGAGAATTTGTGTTATCTCATTTTGAGCATTTATCTTTCTATTTTTATATTTAAGTCACCAATTTATACATTATGCCTTGATTGCTAATATTTGAATCTGACAATGATCTTTATGAATATTTTATTTTGGTCACTAATATGTACGAATGCTTTTAGGTAAATTTATTCTTTATCCCTCCATGTTTCTGGTTTATTTCATTTTAGTCCCAAATACCATTTAAGGGTTTATTGTGTTTCTAAGGCTTGTATTGTATAAGATTCACATTTTGCACCATGATTCTTGCTTTGTTTACATTTATGCCAGTGAAATTGTTGTTCGTATGACTTAGTCCTTGTTTTTTTATTTAGCTTTATTATTGTCCTTATTATTCTGTTTTTAAATAATTTAATTCTTGCATAATTTGATTTTTATTTCTTTTCATTTTCCCCATGAATGTATATTTATAAATGTTTTTTTATTTATGCACGTATATATTATATCATATTATATGTGTGTATATATTTATTTAATATTTCTTAACTCTTGTATATTTATATATATATTATTAATTTTTATTTTATTTTGTTCGATATGATTTATTTATTTATTTTATTTTATAAAATGCCCAATTGTCAATATTTTTTATATATCTCTTGTACTTGATGTTAATATTTTTTTATTCAAATATTTTCAAGAACCCTCTATCATAGAATGGGCAAAAAACATTGCTTGATTCGAAGTAGTGTCATTTGATACGATATTCGAACGCAAAGCGAACTTGAAATAAGTCGAATTTATTTTTATAAAAATGATAATTAATTCGTTTTTATTCAAATGATGCAATGCATGTTTCTTCAAACAGTAAGTTATTTTATGAAATTACCGATATTCGATTTGTATCTTTTGACAACGTTGAGAAGGGGGACATTTCTCGTATAAGGGAGAAATAGATGAGATCGCCTTCCCATTGGAGGATGTGCAAATCCCGTGATTTATTCTCAAATTAAGGAATGTTCCCTAATAATTAATTCGAAACAAATTAATCAATGTTTAATAAATGGATCATAATTTAATTTTTATATTCGAATTTATAATTTCCATCATTACAACAACGTATAAGTGACCAAGTACCAATTTTTGGGCGTTGCGAGGGGTGCTAACCCTTCTCACACGTAATCAACTCCAAAACCTAAAATGAATCTTTGATAAGCGCATATCAGTTTTTTGTCTTAAAAATATTTTTCTTAAAATTGTTTAAAAGACGTTTGTAGGTGTTCGACCTACCTAACCCAAAGGTCATGAGGACTCAAAATCAATTTAATCAAAATAAACACCAAAATCCCAATTTTTCTCAAATAAAGTCATAATTGTTTTTAAAACCTAATTGTTTCAAAAATGTTATGACAACTTGGCAATTCCGCTGGGGACCATTTTAGAGAGTCAGACTGTAAGTCACTTATACATTGTCATAGTGGTGGAAATTATGAATTTGAGTCTATAGTTAACTTATGATCAATTTATTGATTTTTTTTCTAAATTCTTTATTTTTATCATACTAACGATTTAATTTTTGTTTTCAGCTCTCTCAAAGTTTCTATTGAGAGTTTTTTTTTCTTTTCCATTTTTTTAGTCAAAGGTTTGTGTGTTCCTCCTTACACACTTCACGTGCATTTGCATGACATGAGTTTTACACCTGAGCTTTGTCCCAAGTAAGTAGGGGTGAAAGTTATATTGTCGTAAGATTTTATTCTCCGTATGAGTTTTAGCAAATAACTCATGGGGTACACATACCTTATATCTTTGTAGGGATTTATTCCTCGTATGGATATAAATAATTGAACCCCCTTGAATTGAACTTGATCTATTTATGCCTGTAATGGGTTAAGATTGAAGGTTTGGTAGCCCAAGGGGGCACCAACAACAAGGACAATTCGAGTACATTTTCTCGTTAGAGCCAAAACCATGCATGTAGTGAACCGTAGAATGGTCACCCTAGGTATAGCCATATCGAACATATGTTCGTCAGTAAGTGCCAAAATATGTGTACAAGAAGGAGGAACGAATCTAAACCTTTATATTTTGCTTTAAATTCATAGAATGGATTTCTTTTCAAATATAAGATGTGAATTAGATACCATGCGGATAAGATCAATTTCTTAAAAATAAAGCATGCCTGGTAGAATGCATGTCTGGGTAGGATTGTTATTTAATAAAAACATGCTCGGGTAGATACCATGATGGGGTAGGGGTTATATTCATATCTGGATATCACTTTTATTTGTATCGATTATCTTGCTTGTACTAACTCTTTTCTTTTATTTTGTTTGTGTCATTTTCACTTTTTTTGCATTTCATTTCATCGACATGACATAATGTGAAAGTGTTGATCCGTAAGGGAATATTTTAGCAAAAATTTTCACAAGGAGAGAGAAAATTTTTCAATCAAGCATTCACGTACACAGACATGCATTGAGGGCTAAAAAAAGTTCAGAGAGTACAAGAAGGAAACTTGCTTGAAGATCATGCAACATTCGAGACTGGAAAAATGATCCATTGATTCGAGAAGTAATCCAGTAGTAGAGTCTTATATACAATCATTCCATCGCTATTCATCAAGGTGTGCCACATGATTCTAGCATTACGTGGCCATTAATCGAGATAGGTTATAGAGCGCTTGAGTGGCATAATTTTTAAGGACGAAGCTCTGAGACATAGCATTGACCCATTTCAGACCCACCGTCTAAGTGAAAGCATGTATGTAAAATGGACTATCTTGTAATGTGAAGACTTTTATCTCTGATGAAAATTGTTCTATGATATTCACAGTTGGGATCACTTTTTGCATCTGCATTTGCATCTTTGCATTTTGCACAGGTATTTCATTTATTTAAACATTTTCACATACATCATTCATAAAAACATCAAATTAATTCGTGGAGGATTTGATAACTGTGGTCCTAATCACGTGACACCACATTAAGAACAAAAACAAGATTCGAACAATTAAAGGAAGAAGTTGAGATCAGTACGGTGGGAGTCTATTCAGCTGGTCGTAGGGATAAGCCTTATAGGATGATCCGAGAAAAGAGTCAATTTGATCTAATTCTAACGACCTATGAGGAATTACTTCCAACACTAAGAACTTGGTGAATCGAGTCCAATCCAAGCCGAAAGAGCCACCATATCTTGAGAGCTACGATGTTGATGCCATATGTAGCTATCACATAGGAAGTTCAGGGAGTTCCACTGAGAATTGTGGGGCATTGAAGCGAAAGGTTCAGAATCTGATTGATTCAGGGGTATGGACGTTTGATGAATGATGGGGCATTTTGATGCTAATCAAGAAGAGATTTTTGTGTCTACCATGAAGCTTTCTTGTATTTGTATTAAAAAAACTGGGTAGACGGATCTGAAACCCCACCTTTTCTGGGTTTTTTGTGTTATTTTTCAGAGTTGGTTTATGCCAAAAATCTTACCGGTTTTTCATTTTTGTTTACGTTTATCCTTTTATTTCATCTCCTTCTGCATTCTCTCGTCTTTTACTCTTCGATTCACTTGAAGTCCTGGACTTCTTTGCTGCTATCCTTGGAGTCGAGCTTTCTCTTCTCACCAGATTCAGGCTTGCTCTTCTCCTTAGTCTCTTTTTAAATATATTTATTTTAGGGCATATTTTTAGTTTTATGATCTAGTTCTGTAGGGATATTTGCTCGATTTGAACTATATTTGGTTTTGTGAAGCCGT